ATCAGCTTGGTGTACCTGCTTTCGGACTAGCCAGTGGGCCCCCTGTGGCACTGGAGTAACCAAATCTAGATGAACATGGAAGTGACAAACAATGAGAAGAAGAAGTAAAAATCTAGCACAAACAGCATCCATCTAAGTAAGGATGACTGGTCTGCAAGTGTGTGTGTTTTCGAGAATTCCGTCTTGAGGTGCGCCAGTGCTTCGGCATCCTTGTTGTCCGGTGTCTCTCCCTCTCGGTGTTCCGGCCGTTGTGGTCCGTGTCGCACTTATTACTTGTTGGGCGTCCGGTCTCTCGCTGTCTGCTTCCTGGTGTCCAAGCTTTCCTGCAGTCATGTTTAGTCGGTATCCTGGAAACAGTCGGGTGCAGATTCTTCTAGTTTGTGTGGTGCCAATCACGGCTGTGGCGATGAGGCCACTGGCCGATGGTGATAACGAGTTGGTGAGGAGGGCGATGGGGAGGGAGAGAATGGTGATACTGGCCAAAACTGTTGACTGTTGGTGACGAAAAAGGTGATGGTGGGTGTCACGGTGGTGGTGATGCTGCTGCTGAGGCTACATCGTAGGCAGCGTGGCAGAGATGGCCACGCATGGTCGTCAAAACCCGGCAGCCCAGCGCGGGATCCCAGGACGTTCTGCCTGTAGGAGAACAGTGAGCCATCCAAAACACGGTGCTGCAAGCATTGCAGCCTGCCGGGAGCGACATGCGACGTTGACAGGTCCCTGCTCATGATGCGGCAGTACTGCGAGGAGAGTCATGATCCCGTGCTGTTAAGACATAGGCGCGTGAATAAGGGTTTGTTGGGATTTGCTCTATGGTGTATTGACGCGATGCACTTGTGATTCTTGACACTTGCAGCTTGAAGATTCCAAAGCATTCATGAAAAGTACCATGTTTTTTCGCTTGCAGTGTCGGGGTTCCAATCCGTTTTGCTGTAGTCGTGTTTGCGCTTGCAGCTAAGCATGTCAAGTCAGGGTCCAAGACTACCTTTTCAAACCATACACCCAAAAGGGTGGTTCACCGCTTTATTTACGCGGTTTCAGGTGGTCTTAGAGACCCAAACCGCCCAAAGCCATGGAACAGCCAAGGAATTCAAGAGGGTCAAGGCAAGCAACAATGTCAGGACCGCGATGCAACAACTATAACAAGCAAGAAGGTTTTCAAAAGAAAAGTCTCACCCTTACCAGATTCAGGAATTCGTGGTGCCATAGTAGATCCACAAACTCAGTAGTCAACGGTCAGAGACCATCTGACTATAAGACTACATTCCGATGCTTTATATCAATTTATATCTCATGATAGGTCACCCATGCAGGAAGCAGGCAAAACCCACGAGCAAACAATTCAGGCCACAATCAGCCATCCATAAAATCAATATTGCAAACGGAGGAGTGAATTTGGAAAGAATGCTTCAACATGTCTCAAACCTACGGATCCTTAGAAGCCTTAAAGCACCGCCTCGGCAGCCCTTTTCGAGGAGCACGGCTTCCACCAGAAGGTCGTGAACTCCGTGCGGCGGCACGTCGAGTTCTGGTACCAGGTGCCACCGGCTTCAGGGACTCTGGGACAAAGCCAGACGACTCTTGCAGGAGATGTCGCCTTTCGATGCTGAGCCCGAGATACTCCACAAGCATTTCGGCTGCACGAAAAGATACAAGCCGCTGCGAGTGTCAGAGCGGGTTTCTGGGTCTTGGACAGTCCCTGGTCCTGACCTTCCAAAAGCACAGGTTGCCTGCACCACTGCGGCGTGAGGTGATCCTTCACATCCACAGGCAGGGACTGCTCCCGAGTAGATCTGCAATTGGGGCAGGTTGCGCCTTGCAAGCCAAGGCACGTGATTGGCGGGGGCATTGCCCTCTTCGCGCTGTCGATGCCGGCCTGGCTTCAGCCTCAGCGTGGTCCCGAATGTGCTGTAGTTGCACCCAATCTTCGCCTCTGTTTGTCAAAACTGCTCCTGGGAGCACGCGGATTGCCATTCAGCGATGTTGCCAGGATCTGGTGGGTGATTTGGTGTTGGTTTCCTTGTCTCAAGAGCTGAGGGTTCAGCCTAGGTTTTCTTGGTGATCAGAAATCTGCAGCCGCCTGTAAGGTTGCACGAAGAACACTGGCTCTTCCCGTGTGCAGGCTTCAAGCGCTGCTCGTGCGATTGTTGGAGCCGCAGGTGGGAGTGAAAGGTGCACTTCGCTGCTCGAGAGTTGCTGGACATGCAGGCCTTTGCGCCTGGAGAGTTGATCGTGCCTCCCACTGAAGCTACTCTGCGGACAAGTGTTTTTTTTTGTTTTTTCCCGGGTCGTTGAAAGAAGAGGCGCAGGAGCTGAAGGACAGCCTGTACTAGGTATCGATGTGGGATAGTTTTTAAGTTCCCGTATTGTTTAACATGGAGCCCTCATGATAAATAATCTTGGGGATTGTTGAAATCGACACGTGGTGTAGCTGAAGCATGCTGAAGCTATAAGGCTGGGAGCAGCAGTGACTTGATCTTCGTCTACGAGGGGAGTTGCGAGGCTCGGGCTCGTCAGGTCGCAGACGGGAATCGGCCTGTAGTGACCATAGCCCCAGAGAGGCCATTCTCAATGCAACCGGCCGACCGCTGCCGGGTCCTCACGGCTCGGGCCAGGCTAACCAGCAAGGCCAAAGCACAGCGTCCGCTTGGAAATTGTTGAGATCTCGCAGCGTTAAAGCGGCGCCGAGGACCCAGGCCCCATCCGCCCGGCGTCGAGGGCGGAAGAAGGAGGCGCCGGCGCCAAGTCGACAGCAAGTTTCTGCTATGTCGGAGAGAAGGTGCGTGGTGTTTACCTTGGTGACAGCTACCTGGTGTTGGAAGAGCGGCTCTCAGACAGGACGGTGTAAAACCAAGGCTCTTGAGCCAGTCCTGTCAGGTCGTTTCCCTTTGCCTCCCTTTGCTAAGCGATTTCCTGGTCTTCCTTCAAGTGCCGTTTGACTCCAGAGGTATTTCACCCCAGAACCCAAACCCTGGATGAACTTTTCTGAGACCTATCCGGCTGGCACTATGCTCGGCTTCGAGGCCCTCTTGGGCGAGGCTCCGGAGGAATGTTCGGTGACGGCTCCTGGAGTTCCAGCTTTGCTTTGCAGGAAGCCCTGCAATCCTTCGGGTGTCCACGTGACTGTGCGGCCTGGAACCGAGAGGAGAGGAGCCGATTTCGGAGGAGGCATCCTAGGACGCGTGCGGGGGGGGGGGGGGGGGGTGAGCTCAGGTCCGCTGCTCGGCGACGGGGACCTGCAGCGTCTTCGCGATGAAGGTGGCTGCGCTGGTGGATGCGCACAGGCCGGGCCATGGCCGGGCCACTGAGGCTCCGAAGGCGATGACCCCCGATCGCTGTATAGGTCCACACCCCATCTTGGCGGGATGCTCACCGAGCTCATGACCTGTGTGATCGTCACGGAGGGACGGCGTCGTGTGAAGGACGGGCCGTCCGAAAGAGCCTTCTTGACCACTCAGTGGCGTGTCAGGAGCGGCAACGGTGTGAAGAGGGCCGCAGCTATGAGACGACGCTGGAGGCGGCGACTGAAAGAGAAACAGAGCCCCGTCTCAAGACTTCCGACAGCCAGCCGCATTGACCGAGGCATACCGAGCTGCTAAGGCAAGCGGGAACGGGGAGCGAGGGAGAGCAAGTATCTATGCGAAGTTTGCCAGAGCGAAGGGGGTGCTTGGCCTTGGACCGAGGCCGCGCAAACACTCCGCGCGGCCGCGGCAGCCACGGAATCGAGTCCAGAGGCATCCTGCTGTCCCAAGCCCATCGGGTACGGCGTGGAAGGGGGGACGGAGTTTGAGAGGTAGATGGAGGTAGCACATGGACTTAAGACTGAGCACGATGACACCCAGGAACAGCTCCGGTTTTCAAGTTTGTGTCCGTGCCATTGGTTTTCCCGTGTGCTTCCATCGAACTCACTACCGATGCGCTGCGCTGCGTTTTGCTGCATGCACTCCAAAAATCGTTTCACTTCTGCAACGACCTTGCTGTATCTTGCATTATCTGTACCTGGCTCGGTTGCTTCAGTGCAGTGCATTGCCAGTGGTCTAGAGCCTCGCCGTCCCGCCGTCCACACAGATCCAAGTATCAGAGCTGGTTCTAGTCATTGCCAGTATCCTTCGATTCATGTACAGCTAGGCCAGCTAGGCCTGCCAGGCTTCTTTTGCTGCAGGGCAGAAGATTGCAGCTTCGCTGCCACGCGGAAGGATTTCAGCTGTTGGCCTTTTGAACCCGCAGCCCGCGGCAGGCGCACGAGGCTTTCCGACTGACGCCCCAGGCGCGGAATCGAGGCGGACCCCAGTTGGATGTTTTCCTTGAAGCCGCGAGTGTCATGCGTCAAACTCTACAGAGCAGGCCCTCATCTGTAGAGCCAACACTCGCCAGGGCCGAGGCTGCAGCCACCGGGTATGGACCGGGTCCCTGAACCGACAGAGGACATGAGGGTGTCAAGAAGCGAACTTGCTAGTGGCTCGAAAGGGTTTGGAAGGCGGTTTGCTGAGGGCACTCACGCTGGTGCTGCAGAGCTGAAGCCTTCGCATTTGGCTGGGGGGTGGTAGGCCGGGAAATACGACATATACATGCACGTGCACATGCTCTGCTTAGCAAAATTGTACTGCACCACATCGGGGCACCTGCTCAGGCCGTGCCGGCCTTGTTGCTGCCAAAGCCTACCCCTTTGCAGCAGTGCGTGCTATTCGATTTGCCGTGGTTTCCACCTGATAAGGTGTACTATTCAGAACCTTTGGAGTGTCCCCCATCTCCGCGTTCTAGCTCCTCTGTTTTGGGTAGGCAGTAAGTGCAGGGGGGGACCTCTAGCCAAGAATGAATTCGTCTGGGGCTCAGCCACGCCTTGTGAGTGTCAATGTTGTGCAGTGAAGCCTGACCAGTTGTGCATGCGGTTGTTTCATGCGTTAGTTCTCAGTTGCGAGTCGAACCACCAGACCGCAGCAGTGGCGGCTCTCGGTGATGCAGCTAGAAAAAGACGTTGCGCCTGGCGGCGCTTGCAAGGCCTCTGTTTGCGATTAGTATTTCGCATTGGCAGACGGAGCAGGGATGCAGCAAAGCACAGGTGCCGCGGATGCGGCGCCCAGCAACGGCGGTGCCACTGATGGCGATTCTGGGACTCGGAATCATGATGATCAGTGGCAAGGCTGGTGGCAACGGCAAGGATGGGCTTGGCATGGCGGCTCTAATGCTTCGTGGAGTAATCCCGGTTGGTGGCACGGTCAATGGGAGAGACCGCACTCTAGTACTACTAGTTGGTGGTCCAACTGGCCAGGCGAGCAACCACGGGATCGGCGGGCCAATCTTCCGGGAGATGATGGAAGTGGAACCCGAGATGCAGAGGGCTTTAAGTCCGCGGAGGCAGGCCACCGGAGGGCATCAGCTCAGTCTACCACAGTTACCGAAGACAGCTTCGAGCATACTGATGACCCGAAAGATTCTAGCGATGCAGGTAGTGGATCTGCGAAGGCCTTCCCCAAGACAGGCAAGGATCATGTGCCTGAGTTTGACGGTAAGACTGCCATGAGGGATTATGTCAGGAGGGTCAAGTTGTTTGAAAGCTCGACAAGCATAGATTCGTCGTACAAGGCCCAGAGACTCATGAGAAATTCAGCGGCCAAGCATGGATGGCTACAGAAAGCCTCGACCTCGAGGACCTGAAGCACCCCGAGGGGGTCTCGCTCACCTTTGGCAGGAGCTGGAACCGCTGGAGCATCTCCGCACCTTCACGACTTTGTCCAAGTTCTACAAGGACTTCCGAAGGAGCCCGGGCCAGGAGTTCGTTGAGTTTGATATGCAGTTCCGAGCACATCTCAAGAGGCTTGAAGAGGTGGGGGCAAAGAAAAAACAAGTTGTAGCAGCGGCCAGCGGCGAGTATGACTACCCGAAGTTGAGGAAAGCCCTGATGGCGATCGTCCCGAAGGTGAAGAAAGAGGAAGACAACCACCCTGCACCTTCAAGGCCATCCTTCAATCGACAGTGGAAGCTCCGGAACAACACCACGCGGCAGGTGAATGCCACGGTCGAAGAGGAAGAGCAGATTGACGGCGTCGATGGCGAGCGAGACGAGGTGGGGCCCGAAGAGCTCGAGGGAGAATTGGAGATTCTTTTGACACAGGCAGCTCGCAAACGTTCTGAGATAGAACATGCCAGAGGATTCTCGAAACCGGAGTCGGCTCAGGCCAGAGAAGCAAGAATACGAGAGATGAAGTCGAGAATGCCCTGCAGCGCGTGTAAAGCGCAGGGGCGCACCAGCTTCGGGCACTGGCACGGGGACCCGGAGCGCCCGTTCCGCAAAGGGGGCTCGGGCGACAAGGACCGTAACAAAGACAAAAGTGTCCTAGCGGTCGTAGCGGAGGAGTTGAGTGACAGCGACGAGGATATTCTAGATCCTCCTTCTTCCTCTATCTACCGCTCCACGTCCTCCGACCTCGACCTGGGGATCTCTGATGGCAAGGGTCAGCTCGAGCAGGTGCATGCAAATCGTGTTTACAGCAATGGGGGAGAACCTGATCGTAGTCGGCTTGCACTAAGTGACACCTGTTGTGCCAGGACGGTGGCCGGGAAGCAGTGGATCCGCCGCCACCTTCGTTACCTCCGGGCCAGGGGGGAAGAT